TCAAATGACTTGGTTTTGGAGTCAGCAAAAGCGGAGCACACTTTGCACAGATACTGCCTGCATTTGTGCTGCTTGCGACGAATAGAAGTCATCGGTGTTCACTAACGCGTGCTGCTGACGTGGAATTGGTACAGCCACCAGGTCCTCTGCGTTGGGTGGGTCTCGAAGCTGATTGTCTGCAGGGCGAGCAGCTGAATGTGCAAATGACGCAGGTATTCTGCATGGATAGGTTGTTTTTCTCCTTTCTTCTTGAGCGTCACACAGTGAGCGATGCATTCACGACAGCCATGTCTACGATACACAGGATAACTGCTTATAGTACTTGCGAAGCGATATACACTTTTGGATGCTGTAGCGCTGGAGTCTCAGCTGGTCGTGGACGTCCGCTCCGACCATGCCACGATTGTAGTCCACAACCAGCTGCGGACACGGCACCGTGCTTCGCGCGCCATCTTTCTCCAAGCGCATAACGCTGGCGGGGTGAGTGCTGCAACCAGCAGCGAGCATGTTCACGGGCTTTGAATCCATCCAACTCAATGCAACTAACTGAGGGTGATCACGTGCTTGTGCGATACGATAGGTTCCTCTTGGCATTCGCTTCGGTCGTTTCGCCTGCGTGAACTGGATCGGACACCAGCCAAGTCGATCAATTCTCGTGGTGCCAACATGATATCTTCTAAGTTGGGCACACTCACGCGAGGATCCTCAGCTTGGCGAGCAAGCATCGTTGCTCGACGAGGTAATGCCACAGCACCAATATTCTGCTCTCGGTAGCGGTTCGTCTCATCAGCAATTCGAATCCATAGCTCCTTCGGTAAAAAGTAGAAAAACATGGCCAATGGAGAGTCTGCGTATGCGACCGCAGACCGTGTGGGTCCGCACGGTCCGTCGTAATAGTCCGTTGCGGCGTCCATCCGGAGATTCCCTGCAGTAAACACACAATCCGGAATAAGTGCAATTGCACCACACACTAATCTGTATCATACGGCTTACCACTTTCCGCTTCGGCATAAGTAATCCATCCATTCTCCGCGATGTCTCGCAAATCACCACTAGTCAGGTCAAAGAGTCCCTCCTCGGGGATGTCATCATTCAAAGACACGTCTTCTAGATCTTCTACACCTTCTACTTCAAGGACCACTTCGTTGTCGTTCATCACGTCTTCGTTATCCGCGTCTGAATCGGAGTCGCTGGCATCTTGACCAGCCACCACGTTCACATCATCACCATCTGTCGGGCCGAACAATCGCTCTTTTCGGAGACCCTCCATGAAGTTGTCGCTATCAAAGACATCAAAATCTACACGATAATCCGCAGGGTCGTCACTCTCGCTCTTTGCTTCATCAGCTTCCGCCGATTTTCTCTCGCGGGCTCCATTCTGTATCAGAGCCTTCATTTCTCCTTTCTTGTTCTGTATCCTCCGGGACTGTAAACTCCGTATCCCCATGTTCTGTATTATTCAGAATCGTGGCCCTCCAAGGCTTCATCTTGTTCTGTACCATCCGTTATAGCCAGTTGAGCTTGAACTTCGGTCGATGCTGTAGTCTGCCGGATTCACTCCAGCGTCAACGGAGCGGTCGCTGGAGGTTGAACACGTGCACTGACTTGAGGAGCACTTACTTCTGGAGTTTGGGCGGATTCTGTCGCCGTAACGGAAGGTGGTGGCGCGGAAGTGGTGAGCGGTGGATGGCCATGGGGAGGTTCCTCCCCAACAGCTTCGTACGATGCTTGCTTGCCAATCGGATGATGTGCAGGGCCAACACGCACGCTTGGGAGTGGAAGCTGGAGACGACCGGATGCACGTCCAAACGCCATGAGTTCAGCTTCGCCTGATAAACACACCATTGTAAGTATTGAGCATTATTAGGTCAGTTAGCATTGCAACGTACCCTAAAAAAAGTCAATGCCGCGTCTCGATTCATCAAGACGTCCCTTGATTCCTGGCTTCACGTGGCGGTGATGCCTGGCCATGCGCGTGGGTTTGCGGCGCTTCCATCCGTCCTTGAATGACTCCCGCCACAGCTGCTTGAATGTCTTCTCTCCGGGGCCGTTCATTGTTCAGAGATGATTTTCAAATGGGAGGGTCTGATTGCCACGCAGCAGTTTTGGGCTTTCACTCTAATTTTCAAACCTGTTCTGATTTTATATTGGTCTTTCTACTCACACAGAAGAATCTCCGTCTATCTACCCTTCACCAATCCAACGGGAAGGATCTGCTGATTACCACGTATACAAATTCTCATATGCGGACTTGGGGGCAGCAGCCAACTTTGGTGGGTACTAAATCCTGTTAAACATCTTATTCTGTAGGATACAGAATACCGGGTAGAGGGGTTAAAAGCATAAAGAGGCGTGGTGGCAAAACGATGCGGAACAAGTACTGAAAATCTAGTCCCATTGACTATTGGGCTGCTTTAAGTGAAAAGAAGGTTCCACTGTTGAAGAAGATTGAGACGATCGTGTTCTCGATCTCCAGCCAGCGAGCGGGCGTGGGATATTTTCGATTGGATACAGCGGCAACCAGAATCTGACTGCCACCTGCAGGTGCTAAGTGATTGGCTCTTACTTTTCACATTTGATTTGAAGGTTTTGAAAGTCGACTAGAATTTCGTCATTTATTACATGTATCAGCAAAATAAAGAGGCTGCTGTATTTTGCTAAGCCTTAGCTAGACATCTTTGTTAAATGCTTTCGTGATCGCGATGGGATTGACCATCTCCCAAGCTTTGATGGCTTAGTTAATAGTCGCTAGCCGTTTTTTTTCTTTACATCCTTCTTCTTTCCTTTCTATCAGCCGGTGTTCCTTTAGCATGGCCTTCAAGTGGCCATAATGCCCACATCTAAGGGCTGGCAGACCGACGTTGCATTTTTTTTTTGGCTTGTAGAGTCGAACGCAGTTCATCGCGCACCATAGCTGCTTAGACGTGACAGTCGATGTTGTCTACGAGGAGAATGGACCCTTTTGACATATTTTGTGGGAGTAAACCTCGTAGATATAGCTCACACACACGTAAGTCAATCCACGCTCTCTTCTGAACCGTGTAGAGGTGGCTTACACGTACATTTTTTTAATCAACCTCTAAAATTTTAATAAAATACATCGTTTTGCGTTCATTTTGGATAAGTATCGAGCTCTTCCTGCTCGATTTTGCGGCCCGGCTGACCTCGAGCAATAAACAACAGTGGCAACTTCGTACCATCCGCGTGAATTATTTATCCGAGAGCATCCTTGATGGAAAACTGTCGTAGTAGATTCCCGTTTCATCAATATTGTAGACCAGACTTGCATCCCAAGAACCATATTTCGTGCTGAAAGGTTTCGCGAACTCGTCTCGAACAGCTAAAAGGTCTTGCTGGTTTTCCTACAACACAAATTACGAGCAGTTTAACGGCACAAATTACACTTTAATTACCACAAATACAGTTTAAGAACATGTTTACCTTTACGCCACTTAGCGTACGCTGGACAACCCCGTGTCGGTAGGGAAGGCGTCAAAGTAGCCTCAGTAGTGACTCATATGCCGTAGTGACGCTCTTCTTGTCCTCGATGTAGTCGTCGAGCCACTCAGGGTGTTGATCGCGAACGAAGTCCGCCATTGCTTTTGCGGTCAGTACTTCACAGTAACTACGAGTGTATCATAAAATCACTAGCTCGTTCTCAAAATGCACTATCTCGCGACGGCGTGGGATACGTGAGAGCCTTTTTCGCTGCCAGTGTAACTGCAAATGTCTTCCTTGGCCTTGCGCCAACCATTTAAGGTCAAACGAGGAACGCATTGTTGTCTCGCTGCCTCCCGTTAACATAAGTCTTCATCTTTACACAACACGACCCTTTTAGCCCTGATCGTGTAGTGCTTCCAGCGCTTTTTCGGTGCTAGTGCAGCAGAGGTGACCCGAGGAGAATGCACTTCAGTAGTCTCTCTGCTCGACGGAGGACCCGGTGAGTCAGTACCGTATCTGCCTCCATTTTACTGACTGACAACCACATAAATAAAGTCTGGCTACATACACTCGTGGACACAATTATACGGCCACCTCGTCGAGTGCCCATAACTCAGTCAATTTTTATTATTTGACGGTGCGGTTTTCACACAAGTTGCAAAACATGCTTCAAAATAGCAAGGATGTGCTAACGCTCGCGGTTTTGCACTTTATAGGGAGGCTCACATACAAAAAACAATTTACGGCCACCATCGGCCCAATACAAAAACCTATATAAAATAAAACATGTGTCATTTTGGCTGACTAGAAATTTGTAAGGGCTGAGTTTCTGAGGGCGATTAAATGGACACTAGGGATCGAGAGCTCAAATTAGTTGCATGGGGGTGTACACAATACTGTTATATGTAACGTGCTGCACTCGCACCTATGCTTGATCAATATTGATGGAGAACTTTCTAAAATGTAAGATCGCGACGACTACACGGTGTTCTCCATATGATCTGCTATAGTAAAAAAAATGCGGATGGGTCTATTGACGCTAGCTAAAAGTTCTCCATCAATATTGATCAAGCATAGGTGCGAGTGCAACACGTTACATATAACAGTATTGTGTACACCCCCATGCAACTACCGTACCTCACAAAAGAAATGCTTTTGGTCATCGGGAAATGGCACTCATCTTACCGTTTAAAAGCGGGCTGGCGAAGCAAATATGCAATCTTCGTGTTAATATTTAGCTTAGAAATTTCAATATTAAGACTCGCCCAATCTCTCCACTACACAAGGTTTTCTGCTGTCTGGTTCAGCAGAAGTGAGTTGTAGACTTCGTTTTCTTGTAGAAGGCCTATGTGTTCTTGAAAAGCCTGGTTACTGGGCTGTCGTGGATCCTGGCCGAGTCGCTTGAACATGTACTCAATCTTCCTGTCAGAGTTCTGCTTTTCATTTACCATTGAAACGGCCTCTTCGACCCATTGAATCACTTGGACTCGATCAACTTTGTACTTACCACCGGGTGGGATGGTTTGTGACACCTTCCATCGCATAAAGTTTTTCTTAATAGCAGCTTTCAAAGGTCGGTTGACGTAGAGATCGCAGATTTGCATGATAGAAGTTAATCCAGCGGGAATAAACTCATACATGATACCTTTCTCGTTCAAGTAGTCAATCATTTCCTGACAAATGTGAGCTGAAGCTGCATCCCAAATGAGACCAATTTTTTACCCGGGTACAGACTAACCAAAAAGGTCCGCGTACTTTTTTGCGGTTGGCGTGTCCATCCAGTGTGAAGGTTGAATATGAACGCTTGCATCACCTCCTTCATCACGCCACGTAGTAAAAACGTCTAGCAAAGGGTGCCATTGTGAGTCGCGGTCATCACAATAAAAGGGAGGAAGGACCTTCGAGGAGGACATTTCTGCAGAAACCATCACTGTGCATCCCTTTTTGGCATCTGAAGCCACATTAGATCCAACTCGTTTCGTTCCAGTAGGTATCACAAACTCTGTGTATCTAGGGAAGAACTTGATAAACACCTCGTCGGCATTGATTAAAACTGTACACCCGTCCAGCTTGGTGCGAACCTTCTGTGAGGCTACAAGAGCAGCTGAAACCCAATCAGTTGGCACCTTTTAAGACACACTCTCTTTGCGAATGCTCCAGTTGGCACCTTCGAGGCGCCTACGAACCCACTGCGCTAGCGCAGGCGATATTCCTCCGCCGTTAAGCTTCATCACACTGCAAAACTCGCTAGGCGGTCCCAAAATGCCATCATTTCCAGACTGTTGTATGAGTCGCAGATAAATCTCGTTACGAGACATTGGATTACCGGATTCCCAACCTTTCTTAACTTCATCCAGAAGAAAGTTTGTCTCTGTAGGGTACTTCAGACTGCGTCCAACACTTACTGTCCTGACTGAAGTTGTTAAATACTTCACTCCCTCGCTCTTTTTGGCAATTTTCACCACTTTCTGACGCGACAGCTGAGGGTGAGAGGTTGCAGTGACATAGCGTTTAGTTGTTGGTGTCCTGAATTGAACTGGTATTGAGACACCTGACTCCACGTCGAGCTGTGACTCATCAAAAATTGCTCGAAATTCGACTGGAATTGAGTTGAGAGCGGTACGCACTGTCATAAACTCAACAAATGGAACCCACTTTGGGTAATATGAGTGCTTCGTTACCCAATTGGTGAAGGTTGCATGTCGAACTCCAAATACCCTGCACTTCACCTCTGCATCCTTGTTCCCAAGCAGAGGGTGAAGGTAGTAAAAGATAACTACCGATCGCTCTTTCCAGGTCAGTGTATTATAGTGAAGGGCTTTAGACCGAATGCGAGAGATATCTTTGTCGTCAACGGGAAAAAGTTGCGCCAATGTCATGTCGATGGTCGAAAGAGCAATGTCTTGACACACCCTGCGTATTTGCAGCTGATTCACCTTTTCTTGTGCAATTTTGAGGTCAATACTTGAGCGAGATTTTGTTGACAGCTCTGGATATGCTTGAAGTCTGATCTGGGCGCTGGCTGTGTTAATCTGAGTACGTGCTTCTTGAGCTTTAACCCAACCAGCGTTAGATGCATCCTGTAGCAGAAACCGCTTCATAGTGTCTTGCAAAACAGAAATGAGTTCCAGATGCCAGTCCGATTCCTATTATTAGAAGCATTGCCCTCGAGACCTTATGAAAATCATCGTTTCAAACTGCCTTCTTGGTGTTAATAAACAGTTTTTAAATGAAACAAAACGCTTCAATTTTGTGTTTTGGCAATTTATCTGTTAAGCATTTCTTTTGTGAGGTACGGCAATTTGATCTCTCGATCCCTAGTGTCCATTAAATCGCCCTCAGAAACTCAGCCTATACAAATTTCTAGTCAGCCAAAATGACACATGTTTTATTTTATATAGGTTTTTGTATTGGGCCGATGGTGGCCGTAAATTGTGTCCAGCCTGACAAATCTCTTTTTTGTATGTGAGCCTCCCTATAAAGTGCAAAACCGCAAGCGTTAGCACATCCTTGCTATTTTGAAGCATGTTTTAACTTGTGTGAAAACCGCACCGTCAAATAATAAAAATTGACTGAGTTATGGGCACTCGACGAGGTGGCCGTATAATTGTGTCCAGGAGTGTATGTTCCATTGGCCAACACATTTTAAAAAAATATCGATTCCTATTTGGTCTAAATCAATGTTGCGTGCGCCGTTTTTTGCTATTACTGTACCTGTACACCGTTCACGCTAATTAGTCGTACCCTGACTAATTGTGGTGTACAGATTGAAGCCCTTTATTCTGGGATTTCCTCTGTCCATTTTGTAAAAACTACCTGTCTAATTTTTAAACCGAGCATACTGGAACAAAGAGCTCTATGAGATCTGCTCAAAACCGGTCTTTTTCTTTAGATTTGATCATTTTTGTCGAGTATCCCGAATTTGTGATGTCACTAAAGTGCAAATCCACGACTATTTGCGAACTACGACTAATTAGCGTGGACGGTGTAATTTGCTGGTGACAGTTAGATTCTGTCCGCCGCTGTACAATTAGAAAGGAGAATTGACTTTCTGTTGAAAATATTGAGATGCTGGCGCTCAAATACACCAGCTACGGGGCGATTCCGACTGGCGAGAATGACTTTGCACGACACCAATCGTGTCGAGATAGCATCGATGCAGAGGACCAATATCGGATGACTTAAGCAATAATATATCCGTTTATATTCTTGCTGTTTGATGCTGTTTCCAATGTTGACACGTTTGATCATATTTCATGTACATATAACAGCAGCGGATGAGCCGCATGACCTTTGCTTGTTTGCCTCCAATCTGAGCCATCTAATTCTAACTGATGAATCGTTGTCCTCCGCATTTGTTTGCAGAATCTAGAGCTTGCCATATTCTGTCATCATGCTTTGCTTAATCGTCCTCGTCATCCCTGTGTTTCTCCCATATAATCTACATGTCAGTTCAGTCAGTACCCAGACACGAAGTTTCCTCCGGTCGGGCTTTACACGACTTTACAGTGTGCTGGAGGACGGCAAGATAGCCTCATTACCTCGTTAAGACTCACATAACAATTAGAAAAAGTACTCTGCCGAGAAAACGAATATCGTTAGTTGCATACCGGCTGACCGTGAACAAGAACGGCGTGCGGGCGTCTGTAGAGCGAAAGACACCGAAAGCAGCGTTGTGGCTGCTTTGTCGCCTCTTTCAATGCGGACTGTGATCAGTGTTCACAAATCGGATTTGGGTATACCGGTATACATCGACCCACTCACCCATCTGTTTTTAGACAAACTTTGTTTGGCTAAAACATTAAGAGTAAGGTTGGATATTATTCAGAGCGACTATTGAAGCAACCATGAGCGAGTTCACGTGCCCTCGTTGTAAGCGCGGCTTGGCCCATGCACCCTCTGTTTGCCGGCATCAAAATATATATTTATATGCTATAACACTCGCGTCAGAGCAGCGGTAGAGCGCCACCATCGCATTCGTCGCAATGAACGCCGCTGCGAAAGGCGAAGTAGTGCTCCGGCTACATCACAGACCACCGAGGACACACGTGCACACGATTTTTTGCAGTCAGCTGAAGCTTTCGAGTCTGATTTTCAGGGAAACAACTGTCCAGTCTGCTATGGCCCAGCTGAAAGCCATATACAATGAGCTCGGTGTCACCACGAGTTTTGTCAGGTGTGCATTATGTGCTCCACATGTTGTCTTAACATTTCATGAAGATTTATACAACATTAATTTATTTGCCGTACGCTTCGGGCTAATGTGGATTTACATTTTATCGAACAGTTAACGTTGCGGTAAAATGTTTCGTTGAATGGCTGTAGTAAAAGCAACAAACTAACGTCGTGCAATTTAATTCCTTCTCACTCTTCTACATCCACATTTCAGACAATGATAGTTACTTTAGACATGCGCTTGAGGTATACTAGATCTACGACATTGACCTACGCGTTGTTGTGTCATGGATGGAGTTTCGACGCAGTTTATTATTAGTTGGGAATAAGTCTTTCGTCGTAGCTAGTAAGCAGAGGATGCATGGGCAAAGGTGCGCGTACAACGAGGGCACGTGAACTCGCTCATGGCTGCTTCAATAGTCGCTCTGATGTTGTAGTACCGGCTGTATGTTTTGTCTTGTGAGCGTACTGTTTTCGGGCTGGTTCTCACGGCAGGGAACTTGATTGTACGTACGTGATCAATGAGTGTAGATCGTCATTGGGGTAGATATTGCGAATGTGTTTGCCGCAGATACTACTGAATATGACACATTGATCTCAGACGACTCTGGCTTCAAAGGCGTCGATACGTCTTCTGGCATGGCATATTCAGCAGCAAAGCTGAAGCGAATGTGGAAGGAGATTAGTAGCCATTATGCTTGCACCAAAGCTGGATCCAAGGTGTCCGGGCAAGGTAGCACTGAGGTTTGGGACCTTTGCGATGGACGTGCAGACGTACACTATCTGAACAGATGGTGTGAGCACCGCCAACCAGGGAGGGATTTCTGCTCGGCAAACGTGTACTGCGACAATGAAGACAATTCTACCCAAGGAGGAGCCGAGTAACATTCAAAGCCGCACAACCGCAAGCGCCAAAACGGAGGACAGACAGCTACATGCGACTTGTTACTCGCCAACATTAATACTCTGGTTGCTTATGATATGAACAAAGCAAGGAAGACACGTGCCAAGAGCAGAAGTAATATATTCAAGAGCACCGGGCTGCCCAGAAACTTAAAGCGCTGTCAGCTCTCCTTGCTCGCAACACATCAACGACAATGAGCTTCTGAAGACACGTCGAGTCTATAACGAACAAGGACACGATGCAGCAGAAGTTGGCCAAGCACTTGCTTCATGTCATGTAAAGAAGAAGATGTTGGAAGCGCGCATCAGCGTGCTGGAGTTTGAAGTTGCCAACGGTAAAAGTGAGGGTCTCCTTTAGCACCGTCGCCGTTTAAATCGGCGAAGAATAAAAACAATGTGATCGACGACAGCTTCTTGAAGGATGCGCCCATGTGCAAAATGATAGGCATGTATCAGCTTCGGAGTAGTCGGACACGTTGTACGCGCTCTCTGACAAGCTATGGTACTCCATGGACACTGTCTGAGTTGTTGTTGTAGTTTCTTCATTCTTAACGCGTTCATCAATGCAAAAGTTGTGTAATTTCATACACGGTTTATTTATCTTCCAACTTGCACAAAATCCACCACTAATGCTCGGTGGAAAATCTGCCACTTGTTGACTAGCAAGCCAAATGTCATTTCAAATCGAATGCGCAATTGGCTCGGGTAGAAGCTAAAGGCAGAGTGTTTTGTGCGTTTTAGCTCCAGCTTGTTGAAAGGAACGAGCAATGAGTCGGACAACGGGTACGCGTTATTGTGAGTTCTACTCGAAAATGGATTGGGCGATTGAATGAATCGCCCCGCCAAATCGCCCCGCCAATCGCTCATCACATCTAAAAGCATACGAAATGCAAGTGCAGAGGCAGCGCTTCCGCGTGACTTCAACCCGCGTGCGGAACCACTTCAACCTTGAAGACGACCAACGGGGAAACATGCCGCCTAGCAACGGATCGGCTCGACGCAAGCGAGCCTCACGTCGTGAAGTACATGCGACTCCCAACCGCAAAAAGCGACGCACATCGACGGAATTAGCACAAGGCAGCACATCACCTGATAGTCTCAGTTCTCGACGAACGTCACGTGAATCATCGCGCTCCGACGACAGCTCGCTGCCTTCTCCGGTCAGAGAAGAAGAGAACTGCAACAGACCAGCAGCTCCAGCTAGCGAAGACAACCGCGGACTGCTGCCAGCTTCGATCAGGGATGAAGATGACTCCAACTTGCCGGCAGCTTCGGCGATAGAAGAAGTCTACAACGCACCAGCAGAAGCCAATCGCAACTCGCCGCCAACATCACCGAGTGAGCTTTCATCGCCAGTCCAGTCGAACTCTCTTCCGGCTTCGCGAACCAGTATCGGGCACGCAGCGTCATCGCCAGCTTCAAATCTAACAGAAGATGTGGAGGATGTCCAGTCCGCTAAGCGGTTTCGGCTACTTGTACGGCCTATTATCAAGAAGACGGTCAGCCAGCGAGATAAGTCTGGCAAAAGACTTAGCGACTTCGTCGCAAATGGTGACACCTTTGACGAGATCATTGAGAAGCTGTGGAGTGAGATTAGCGAGCACGTGAAAGGGCTAGCGGTCAATGATGATGGGCATTGGTCCGTCGAGCCCCCCGCGCAAGCCGACTGGGAACTTCTGATGCAATTTAAGCGGGGAAAGCACCTTGTTGACAACACTAAGAACGAGCTCGATTGGAATGACTGGCTAAGAAAATCACGGAAGAAGACCACCATCTTACAGATATTTGAGTACGGATCAGCACTATCGACAGCCAAAGATCGAGATGCCTTCTTAGCTACGTGCATTTTGCCTGAACAGACTAATCGCGCCGGTGCTACTGCTGAAGGCTCGCTTCGTGACGTTGCTGCTCAATTGGAAGAGCACTGACGCTTTTCGTTTTCTACAACGACAATTGGATGGCGCTTGTCGGCAAACTACATCACTCGAAACCTGAACCGTTCCACGTGGCAGGAACAAATTGC